TTGCCCCAGGCAGCTCCGCCAGCGGCGGGGCAGCCGCTCGCCGCACTCCGGGCGTTCCGGAGAAATGCAGAGACGCGGCTCACCAGATCAATCATAAATCCCCGCCTCTGACCCACGGCCCGGGCGAGCGGGGCGGGCGCCCGGCACGACCCCGGCGTGCCCCCGACCCTGACCGGCCGGGCCCGGGCAGGCGGGCGGGGCGGAGGTGGGGCGGCCCGGCACGGCCCCGGCGGGCGGAGCGGGTGCTCCGGAAGAGGCGAAGGAGTGGACGGCGGCGGCTCGGGCGGCGTTGGGATCGGGATCGGGATGGCAGCGCGGGGCTCTGCTGGGGATGCCGCGCTCCACGCGCGGCCGAGCAGTGGTTGCTTGGGATAAGGTAAGGACGCGGGCGCTTCCCTTCCACGCGGGGGCGGCGATGGGGGCGCAGGCTGGAAAAGGGTCAGGAGGCACTCCGGGGTGATTCCCGGCTGTTGCGTTGTGCCGGGTGCGGTCAAGGCACTTGTTGGCTCCTTTCGCTCTGCCCTCAGAGCTCTCTGACCAGGGGGTGCTCTCCCTGCACAGCTCCCGCCCCGCAGCGAGGGCCGCGGCGAGACCCGCGCCTGTCAGGATGCGGGGCCGGCGCAGGTCAGGATGCGGGACCCGCCAGTCAGATGCGGGACCCGCGCAGGTCAGGATCGGGACCGCGCAGGTCAGGATGCGGGACCCGCGCAGGTCAGGATGCGGGATCCGCGCAGGTCAGGATGCGGGGCCGGCCCCGCGGCTCCGTCAGCTGCCGCAGCAGCCCTGCTTCCATTTGGAAGCCCCCTCAGCTGGTCTTTCAGTATCGTCCCTCTGACTGGCTGTCAGCTGTACTGAATGTCTTTTCCGAAAGGGCCTGTGTTGATCCGAACCGCTTCTATTGCAGGGGCAGCTGATAAACTTAAATTATTAAAGGCCAGCAGACATTGCAGTGTTGTCCGTGTTAAAAACCTCCTGGTACGTCCAAATTTTTGTTAATTAAAATATTGATTCCAAAAGACATGTGGGCTTGCTTCAAAAGCACTAGGAAATGCAGAATTTGTCCATCCTCTTTTTTCAGGTGTTATCCAGTGCTTAGTGATTCTCACTGTTAATGAAATAACTCCTGAATCTTCAATATTATCTGGTTTCATGGTTTTTCACCCTTTTTTTGCTATTGCTTGGGAATACTTTAGCACATGTTATTTCCCTTCTGTTAAGACTTATCTTTGTCTGCAGTTTTGGCCTTGACAGCGCTATATGCAGAAGTAAAATAATTTATATTTTCCACATATCTATCGGAATATCTTGCTATAGTGGTGTTCTGGAAATGCTCATGTCGTGGCTTGCTGCTGCAGTTCCCACTCAGATGCAGGCCTCTGCTGGTATGTTTAATTTGCATCTTTTATGGCCCTATTCATAAAATTTGTTATTTTGGCTGTATTGGAACACACTGGCCATTGCCCCACTTCAGTCACTTAAGTGTCTGCCTTGGACTCAGCACTGTACAATGCTCCAGAGCTTTGTGCAGTTCACATACTTGTCTGGTAAGGCATTTTCTGCTTATTTCAAGATTATCAGTGAAAACATATTATAATTCTTTATTTAGTATTCTTTATAGGTTCTAAAGGACAAGCTTGTTGTGATTCCTCATTAAAGGTCATTTAACTGTTTAGCTATCAGTTAGCCAGCTCTGGTTTTATTGATGATAGTGCTGTGCCAAACCAGTCCTCCTTTCAGAATGGATAATGTATCACATCAAATGACAATAAGCTTTTGTGTCTTTTTTCCCCCCTAATTTAATTTTATTTTGAGAAAGCAGTGTGATTTCAAAAGGCATCTTATTTGCATAACTTCCCTGATTAACACTAGGTATATTTCTATCTTTTCAACTGGTTTTTCTGATTATTTTGTTAAGCCCTCTGGAAATCTAATGCAGTGTCCATTACAGCATCTTTACTTTTGAAAGGTTAGCCCTTTGTTAACACTTGCATCTTTGACTTGGTAATAATTGACCCATTTGTAATACCCATTGCTGATTGCTCAAAAATGATGAGGTATTTTAATTTCTCAGGGACCTGTTACATGTTTGTATTGAGCAACAAAAGAATCAGGTATAACCCTTGTCCATTTAGTCTGATATAAAAAAAGGATTCCTTTTTGACATGCAGAGATAGGTTAATATTTAATGATGATAAGCAACATGTTTCTTACAAAATAATAGTTTGCAAGAGCAAGCCCTTATGGCTGACAGCAGTCCTACTGCCCTAAGAGGAAGTTTCTACCTAAGAGATAATTACTGTGCTTGTTACCAGGCTGTTTTCATCACTGTATTCATTACAGTAGTAGCATATTGTTCGTTTTTTTATTATCAATCATAAAATTATTAATAGAAGGTAGTTTCTAGTTTTAGTAAATATAAAATCTGTTTAGTCAGAAGTTTTCCCTCTACTCTAAAACCTTGTGAGGACTCCTGTGCTGATGATACCTCTTTGGGCCTTCCTGTAGTGTAGATTAAAGTAAATAACTCAAGTGTTTCCAGGTGATGTTCAAGCTAATTGCACTAGTGGATATTAACTCAATATTAAATCACCTGCCACTGTATCACAGAAATTGGTATTCCTATACTCACATCTCATGTAATCTCAGAGTAGAAAAACTGTAACCAGAGAGAACCAATAAGAAAGGAGAAACCAGCACTTTATCCTTCAGATACAATTTGATCCTTCTTTAGTAGAGATGCTGTGAAGAGTTTGTTTAAGCAGAAGAAAAAGCCAAAACTAAGTTTATTTTTTTACTTAGCTGTATATAATGGCATCATAACATTTTCCACAAAAAAAAATAGGCATATTCTTAGGAGAATATAGCCATAAACAATTACAACAGTAACTCTGGAAAAATCCTTCTGCTATATTGAACAGACTTGGGCTGGGTTTTTACCATGACTTGGTGGGGGGTGGAGGCAGGGAGGGGGAAACAACCCAAACAACTAAATTAATGCTATCAAGTTTTCTCTATCAAATGATATGGACTGAAACAAGATCTTAAGACTCAGGCAGCCACCAGGACATGTACAATCATTTAAACAGACTTAAAAAACTGGAGGACCCTCTAGTTGCACAGCAGATATCAAACCTGGGAAATTCCTCTAACAACAACAAACAAAAACCTCTTTGGCTGTGAGGGCTGCAGGATGTTCGTGGCGTCCTTCTGTATTGGCATTGCAACTTTTAGTCTGTCAAACATCTATACAAACATGTGCAGTATCTACTTAAAGAGACGCTCATTTCAATGCGGAGATGACTCGTGCACAAAGCTCATACAGGGGAATAAAAAGGTGACTAGGCAGTGTACAAAGCCTGGTGCAAACTGTGTCATTCAGGCCTTACCTATTCAACATAGGCCTGATGTTGCAGCAAAAAATTGAGGTCAATTTGTAAACAGCCTAAACTCAGAATGGTTATGCTGCCCTATATAATAACATAGAATTGTATTTATTCTTATGGAATATAATTACTCAGTAATAATAATGATGTTGAGCCTTCTACAAGGAGGTTGTCAATTACAACATTCTTGGACTGGTAAATTCCTAATTCTTAAACTGGAAATCAGTAATTCTGGGCTACCTAATTGCTTATTGTACTCAAGAAACTAGATTATTTTTTTTATTATTATTTAGCTTATTCTTCATTAAGTAGTTTGCTCATTAGCACCAAAGGCTCTTTAGCTTTTTAAGTGTTTATTTAAACTATGTTGTTTGTCCTGCAGCATGGGTGCACAGGTCAGTGATTAGAACATCCTGACTCTGGTCTCAGTTTGATGTGAAGAATGCTTACACCTTTATATGCAAGCTCGCTCACGTGCCTACTACTGTGTGTGTTCTGCAGTATTTTCTGAAGCTGCAGAAAATATAAGTTTCAGCATTTGGGTTTTTTTTTCTTTTTGCCTGGGATAATATGCCTTCCCATGCTGTAAGCGTACCTAGGTCATCCAGGATATAGTAAAGTCTGTGACTTTTATGAGGCCATTTGATTGCCTAGAAATCAAAGCTTGTGTCCCTTTGGAAATTATAATCTTTGTATAAGAAATTATAATCCAGTGTAAAGTGTGTGTACTCATGCAGTGACTGACCTGCCCCCTCTCCAGATAACCCTGTTGCCAGGAGTGTACCACTGTCCTCTTGGCTCATCAGTTCTCAAGAAATCAAATACTGAAGTTCACAAATCTCATGTTATTAAGATTGAGAAGTTGGAGCACACAGGACTTGACTAATTCCCTAAGTCTGGAAACAAAGAGAGTTGGTAGCGGTATAGAGTATATAGAAGCAATATACCAAGAAAAGCAGTGAAAGTTAGAAACTCCTCACTGTTCACAAGCTGTCTGACACAGCCCTTTCGTTGCCACCCTGGAGTAATTTTGTTTAAGAATTTGGCTGCAGATGCTAGGCTTTCATCCCAAACATTACCTGCAAATATGTTGGAAATTGTCATCTTTATCTTCTGACCAGTCTGCTTAATTTTGCTGCTGCCCCTGGTGTTAGCTAGTCTTGGGACAAGGTTGTGATTTTATTTTTTTTCGAACTCTACATATATAGTGCTATGAAAGTAACAAATATTTCTTAATAATCAGCTTAACCTACTTTCCTAAATGTTTAGAAGAGTTCTTGTGTTGTGATGACAAAAATTTTCAGAACTGTAAAAGTGCACTCTTTTTGTTTGTTTTGTTTGTAAAAAAACATTAAAACAGACATCTTGGAAATCTTTTAACATCCCAAAATGTGATATATACACTGCTGTCAAGGCAGCATGTTCACTTAAGGAGATAAATCTAAAATAAGTAATACTTGAGGTTGTACTGATTTAATTTTAAGAAGATGTAGCAGGAGTTCTGGTATTCTTGAGGTGGTGTGCCATGTTTTGATACTGAAATAAGCCCATACAGAGACCGGGACAGAAAGCCAATCCTGTTAAGACAGACAAACAAAACCTTTTTTAGAACATACGAATTTTGTATCTACAGAATCCAAAAACTTATGCAATCGTGAAGCAACTGCTTGCAGAAGGAAATGCTGGAGAACTGCAGAAATACTTTGGCTCACGAATGGAGTTCGGCACAGCGGGGCTCAGAGCTGCCATGGGAGCAGGGATTTCCCACATGAACGACTTGACTATTATCCAGACAACCCAGGTATTGTGTCCAGCACTTTATCTCACTTAACTGGTTGTATATACAAATGGAAGAGCTCTCATTAATGACAAGCAAAACCAGTATTCTACAAGTTTTTTACAGTTTTTTTACTGTAAATACAACTATTTATTTGTGCAAGTTTTTTTACTATTCTTCTGGTTTTCAGAAGTAATTTAATTGGTAATTATTAAGTGAGTGCTGATTTCTGAAAACAAGCAGAGAGAAGCTATTAAACCATTAAAAGTTATTTTCCATATTTAATTTGCAATTTAATTTATACAGGGCTGTAGTTAAGCTCAAGTGTAACAATACTGATGTAACAACTACAAAAAACCCCAAAGGTAACCAAAATTTGGCTAAGCTTTGTGTGTGTTGGACATAAATTTACATAAAGGCAGTGAAGCTGTATATATGTACATAGATCCTAAAGTAGATCTACTTGGGAAGAGCTTAAAAAAACCCAGAACCTTACATCACCATGCCAGGCTGCAGTAATTTATCATGTCCTAAACGTGTCATTATTAAGGGTGAGATTTGGTTGAAAAATGACAACACTGGCCAGTTGTTCTCTTCTTCATGTGAGACTTAAGACAGATAAATCACTTTTCAAAATTTGCAATTCAGACTAATCATGTTGTCTGTTCCTTTTCGGAGCTGCTTCTGATATTTTGAAAAGTACTTTAATGCTGTCCAGGTTTGCAATATTGATTTGAAGGTTTCTGATATTTCTTGCTGTTTATTGGTCATGGACAAGCTGAATCCCAGAGCAGTTCAGTGAGATGCTGTGTTCACTCACCTTTCTAAGACATCAGCATCTTAGCAATCACCTTAATGCAATGATAAATTAATTATTAAGATTGGGTTAATGAGGTAGATTTGATGTTGTTTTCAGGGATTTTGCAGATACCTTGAGAAGAATTTCAGTGACCTGAAAAAGAGAGGAGTTGTGATTGGGTTTGATGCTCGTGCTCATCTTTCCAGCGGAGGTAGTAGCAAAAGGTACTTTTCAGGTTTTCAGTATTTTGTAGATGCCTTATGTGATCCATTATGGTTTTATATCTACTCCAACTGTATTTTCTTTCTGTAGAGTGAATTAAGGTATTTACAATATTCTGGTAATGCCAAAGCAGTCCTTAAGAGTTGTGCTTTGTCTATTGAGAACAGTGAGGGAACGCATTTAAAATGGGTCTGTGTAATAACTGAGATATATTTGATGTATAGTTTTGTTTGTTGTCGGGTTTTGGAATTTTTAATTGGATGGGTGTGGGAGGGAAAGCTGTGAATTCTAGGTCACTAATCGGTGAGAAAATGAATATATTCCCTAGGCATCTTTTCTTCCTGTTTAGGTTTGCAAGACTTGCTGCCAATACCTTCATCAGTCAAGGAGTTCCAGTTTATCTCTTCTCTGATATAATACCAACTCCCTTTGTGGTAGGTTTTCCTATTATATCTTTTTATATACTTGTAGTAGTTTGAACCAGATTTTCCCCCTGAAGCTAAGAAAGCTATATATCTTCTTTATATACACATAAATCCTGTCAGGTAGTTTGCATTACTTACAGTAAGAATAACTAGATAAACCACTTTTTACTTTTTAAGTTCTTCTTGCAGTTAGTCTTGTGCTTATTTAGCTATGTTTAGTTTACAACATCCATAGCAAGAGAAAGGAGAATGTGGAATGTCAGTGACAGTGGGATGCATTTCTATTCATTCCTGCTTTCCGGCAGACTTGTCTTGTAGGAGGCATCTCATTGTTTCTAGATTGCCGTGGAGTCTGAAGTCTGAAACATACACACAAATTTAGTTTTGTGATTATTGCAGATTTACGGTCAAATTCTTCATAGTGCAGTTTAAAGCAGTGTTGCAAGAACTGCAGTTGATTGCATTTCACTATTAAATAAAGAGCCAGGAGTAAACATACATTGAACCTGTCGTCACAAATAATGCTTTATTTTTAATTCACTCCCTCTGTTTTGGGCTAGTTTATAAGAGCTCTCTCCAAAAATTCTCTTCTGAATGACGATGGAGTTAGTTGCTCCACAGGCTGCTCTCAGAAGATAGTATGGATGAGACTGCTTGAGTTGTAGTTCTCTGCCCCCCGTGGACTTCTGTCATTACCCCAGCTGACTTGGCACCCCCTAAGACTTTGGGTACCACAAGACATTCTACAGCAGGCAACACATGCATTTGGCTTCCTTCTATAAATACGCTGCTCTAGAAATTCACAAAGCATCTGAAACAATACTAAGAGCATATAAATGGAAAAATGCACAAGAAAAAGCAAGGACTAAAGTTGTGCCACGTGGGGTTAGTGGAGCAAGCACTACTTAGCTTTTGTTTTAGGAAGTCAGTGTGTAGAATTACATCCCGGTTTTCTTTTCATTCAGAAGTATGGAAGTATTATGTATGCATGAGAATAAATAATATTATATAGTAAGTTGCACATTCCACTTCAGATAACTTTCTCTTTTTACAGCCATATACAGTAACTCATCTGAAGCTTTGTGCTGGAATTATGGTTACAGCTTCCCATAATCCAAAACAAGACAATGGTTACAAGGTATCCCTATGTGATCTGCTTTCTGGCTCTTTTCAAACCTTTTTTTTTTTTTTTTCATGTAGAGAGACTAATGCTATTGTATATAGTTCCTATCATGGTATAGACTAAATTAATTGCTAGTCTGATCTCTTATAGGTGTATTTATTTAAAGCTAGTGGCATATTATACTAATACCATAATTAAAATCTTTGCTCTAGAAACCAGGAAGTAATGCTATTATATACTTTGGAACACTTTAAAAGATTGGCTCCTTTTCAAAAGCATTAATTATTTCTCTAGTTCATGAATTTAAAAGGTCTCCATAGTTTTACAAACCCAGAAAATTCAAAATATGTAAAGCCTAATGAGTTGCTTGTACAAAACATTTTAAATAAATTCCATTAATTTTTGTAGTATATTTTTCTTTTGCTAAGTGATACAGTTATCGGTGTTTTTTCTATGAAAGAAATCTGCTTTCCACTGAAAAAAACATATCTGAATTACCTGTCCACCAGTCATTCCATATCTGGGCTAGTCATATACAAACTGTTTCCAAAATACAAAAATGGAATTTTTCTCAGTAAATGACTGGCTCTTGTTTTGGATTTTATTATAGATCTTTAGATAAAATAAAACAGCTTTTTTTATAGAACAAAAATGGGACGGGAGAAGAAACACTGAGAATATGAACAGGGGAATATTCTGGGTATACCTAAGCCTAATTTATTGTAACACTCTACTGAATGTAGTGCACTTTAACCAACAAAAAGAGTAACAAAACTATCTTATAATATTAATGATCAAATACTCACCCTATTTATTATTTAGGTTTACTGGGAGAATGGTGCTCAGATCATTTCCCCTCACGACAAGGGAATTTCTCAGGCTATTGAGGAGAATCAAGAACCATGGCCTCAGGTTTGGGATGACAAACTGATTGACAGCAGCCCGCTACTTCATGATCCATACGCCACGGTCAATAAGGAGTATTTCAAAGACATACAGAAACAGTGCTTTTACAGGTGTCTGGTGTTAATTCCTTTAAGAATGCAGAGTATTCCATCTAGTATGTCAGCAGGGCAGTTTAAATTGGTGGAAATGAGACTGGCCACAATCCTGCCATGACCCAGTTCTGCCTGTGCCTTCTTGTCATCTTTTGTGGTAGCACTGGCAGCTGTGATGCTGTGGCAAGCCAGTGCCATCTGCTGGCCTGGCAGACGTCTAACCCAGCAAAGTAAGTGAAAAAAACCAAAGTCAGAATTACTAGAAAGCTGGGGCTATGTGAGAAATTGTGGTGCTTTTTCAGAATTGGAATTAAATGTCTCCTATGATACAGAATACCGAGTTGTATCTGTTCCTGAATATAGTCAGTTTTGTGCAGAACATTCTTCCATATCCAAGTTTACTGTTAACCTGTTTTATTTCAGGAATATAAACAAGGAAACAAACCTGAAATTTGTTCATACTTCTGTGCATGGCGTGGGTCATAAATTTGTGCAGTTGGCCTTCAAGGCATTTGACCTTAGCCCTCCTTTTGCTGTTCCGGAGCAGAAAGATCCTGATCCAGACTTTCCCACAGTGAAGTATCCAAATCCTGAAGAAGGAAAAGGTGTTCTGGTAAATAGGTTGTGGGTTTTTTTATAATTAGTTGCAAAGTCTTTCAATATCTTTCCTTTTTGTCAGAAGTCACAGCTATAGATATTGGTTGAAGGTTCTATTTTGTTTCTAACGTTTTCATAGCCTTACATTTAATGAAGAGTTAGCTAGTATCCTTTCATTGATACAACTATTTGAACCAGTCAGGTAGTAATTAGGTATAACTTTCAACTACTTTGTTCTGTACTCTTAACAGAATGGGCAGCATCTGCACACAGAACAAAGTGATAATTAATTTTAAAAAAAATAAAATAAAAAAATAATCTTCTCAGTTGGTTTTGAAAGATTTGTACAATTTACATCTGAAATACAAGGACTAATTTCTGACACAACACCAGGAGGGGGCAGGAGAAGTCCTGACAGGTGGTTAGAATTTCTGCTACTACTTTCGCTACACTTTGTTATTGAAGGATCCCGCTGAATCTAAGTAGCTTTTAGTTCAAACTACAGAATTACAATGATATAGGTAAAGTTAAATATCTTGATTGTGGTCTACTGCTGCCAGGCTAGAAGTTTTTAGGTTTTTTCAGAGACACATAATGATTTTGGGTGAGATTAAATAAATTGGGAAAATTATTTAAAACCTATAATGAAAGTGAAAATATTATTTGGGAATATTAATGCTTATCTGGTCTTGCTTACCACTTTTCCAGACATTGTCTTTTGCTTTGGCTGAAAAAGATGGGGCAAGAATCATTTTAGCAAATGATCCTGATGCTGATCGACTTGCTGTGGCAGAGAAACAAGAGAGGTATGGTAATAAAGAAGTGCAAGCCATTCACATTTTTTACTGATTTGGAAAATTCTTACTACCTGTATTGCAAAGGAAGAATAGTCACAATAGTCATTTTTGGACTGAAAAAACAGAAATGTGAGAGGACTGTATAAAGCAGACCACAGTGGGGGCAGGACATGAAATAGGGATTAATACTAGACACTGTACAGAAACCTGAATAAATACTTGACATTTGCTGTACTTGAGGCATGCACAGAAGCATGTGAGTTGTTGTGATTGTGCTGTATCTTTTTAAAGGTAGTTTTTCAGTTACAACTTTTTACATAAGGCTAATGAGCATTCTTTCATACTGTTTATTAAATAATAACTTGTATATTCAGGAGAATCCTTATAGTTCTCTGATAATCTCTGTTCTTTAGTATGAGTTCCTTCTTTCTCAAATGCTGTTAAGCCAGTCATTTTACTAATCATTAGATGATTTGTGCCTCTCTTGCTCAGTTCCCCACTTCTTTCCATAATGTTACATACCTGAATTTCACCTTAAGGTTTGTCACTGTTTAGTACTTCTCAGTGTAGTTATTTGTACTCTACCCTTCAAGAACCAACTATACATGGATTATTTTTCTGTGTATACCCTATCAAAGAATGGGATCACAAAAGGTAAACTTGCTTAACCATATTCATGGAGTGTAATCTATAGTTCTGACTCAATATGGCCATCCCCTTATTTCATGCCTCCTGATATCCTGTACTTTTACAATGGTTTGCATTTCTGTATTGTGGTTATATGTGATGAATGAGAACAAGCTGAAGTTCTGCACTTGGTATAATTTCTACAAATAGTGGTGTTTCTCCTGCATCTACCTTGATAGAGCAGAAACTAATCTGAGCAGTTAGAAACCATAAATCTTTAATAAAAGTACTTCAAGGTTTCCAGCTCAGAGAGGAGCAGAAAAAAAATCTTTTGCTAGGGCAGAAGGAGAAATAGTATATATAAATTCCCTGTGCATAAGAGCCAGAAGAGGGATATAAAATTATGGCAACAGTCTTTGGTACCCAAGGGATGAGATGGGCACCTGCTAGATGTCCTCAGTGATTGTGGATGATGCAAGCAGTTGAATCTGTATCAGTTAGACAAATTCCAAAAACCCATTAAAAGGAGGCAGTGCAAGTAGTTGTTTTACTCACCAGATAATCTCTTTCTGTTTTGTAGCAGCTTCAAAGATGACAGGTTTTCTTTGGGGTTTTGAGGTACTTTTAAACTTATTAACCTCACACCATGAACTAAGGAGGCTTCTCTGTCTTCAGAAGAATGAGCTAGTTGGCACTTTCTGCAGTATCTTGGGCAGTATCAGCTAAGATATCCTTATTTTAATGGTTTTGGTCTGTGCCAGCCCCAGTTGGCAATTCAGCATTGAGGAAAAGGCATAAAAAAGCTTCAGTTTGTGCTAGTTATGATAGGTTAAAGCAAGAATGCAAAATCACTCCTGATTTTTGTCTAAAAACTTAGAGCTATCAGAAGATTGAAGAGAGAGGTGTTAGTTTATCATATTTATCACCAGTGAGAGCACGGTGCTCTCATTCTCCTACCTATGTGCTCGTTGTTTAGTCAGTCTTGTCTCCTAACTTTCAGTCCTGTGTCCTCTCAGACTCCTGCTGTAGCTGTTCATACACTAATCAAATATTAATATAGGCTTCTACAGTATCTGTACTTCTTCTTTGACAGAAACTCCTGCTAGAGCACACTCTCTCAGCGCTCTTACACTAAGTTGCCGCTGTGCATTGCTTTGTGCATGTTGGCATCAATAAATGCAGGAGACTGAATCTACTTCTCTTTCACAACAGGTACTGTTTCTGTAGGTCTTGATTTTGTCTGTTTGGTAGTGTATTTGTCCCCTTTTATGACTGAGAATTTTTGGACAATTTTCACATTTGTCTTTTCCTTTTTTCTTGAGGTTTTTTTATGTTCTAGCAACACATCCATATTAATCTTTTTTTACCCATTTGAGGTTTTTTTTCCAATCTTCTCAGTGACCAATTTATGTATTTGGGATTAAATAAAAAGTATTTGTCATGGGGTCGACTAAAATACTGACTACTTGAGAATTGTATTTTTGTATCTTTGTGCTTGTCTTAATCACTGATCTATAATTTTTCTGCGGAATATTTTTGTTTTACTTAAAATATGCTGGAAATATCACTGTTTCATCTTTGGATAAGCTCAAAAGTTTGTACATATGATGGAGGAGGAAGGTAACCATTTCAGAATGGGGGGGAGGGAGGAATTTTTTTGTTTGTTCACAATTAACATTCACTATCTTGTTACTGTTACTTGGAATTCAGAGGCAGTGGTTTATTTGTTAATATTGATGTGTAGAAGAACCAATTTTTTTTTCCCTCCAGTATTATCCTTTGAAATCATGTATTTTCTATTATTTTTTTCCTCTCTAGTGGTGAATGGAAAGTGTTTTCTGGAAATGAGCTGGGAGCTCTTTTAGGCTGGTGGATCTTCACGTGCTGGAAAAATAACAATAGGGATACTCGTGCCATTAAAGATGTCTACATGTTATCCAGTACTGTTTCTTCCAAAATTCTGAGAGCAATTGCATTAAAGGAAGGTTTTCACTTTGAGGTAAGCAACATATTACATATTGTTCCATGTTCTTTAATTTGTTTTCTTACACAGTGTCACATCTTTTTAAAACATTGCTTTTTAATGCCTTCTATTTCTCCTCACTGCTGCAGGAAACACTGACAGGTTTCAAGTGGATGGGCAACCGTGCCAAACAGCTCATGGACCAGGGAAAAGCTGTTCTTTTTGCATTTGAGGAGGCTATAGGTAAGAAACAGGATATTATGTTTTCATGTCCTGCGAAATGGTGAAAGTAGAACTACTGCAAAAAGTGACAGAATCACAGAATGGATGAGGTTGGAAGGGATTGCTGGAGGTCATGTGGTCCAACCTCCCTGCTCAAGCAGGGTCCCCTGGCTTATGTCCTGATGGTTCTTGAATACCTCCAGGGAAGGAGACTCCACAACCTCTCTGGGCAACCTGTGCTGGTGCTCTGTTACCCCCACCGTAAAGAAGGAACAAGTTTTTTTTTTTAAAAAAAAGGTAAAGATGGCAACATAAGGGTGCCCTCAACATAATGGGTGTATTTCCAGTGAGTAACAGATAATCATCCATTTGGCTGATTGATAATACTGGTTTTAATCCTTTGTATCTCTGCTTAGCACAAAGTTTGATGTGAGCTAAGTGTATGTATCTTGAGTAGCATGACTGTGTAGACTTGGACTGCAAATTATGCATAAGCTATTTAAAAAAAGAAACTGCATTTTTCAGAGTTGAATTTGTTTGTTTACCTGATAGTTTTAAGCTAAGTTTAAATGTGAATAAAATAAAGTAAAAATTCCCTTAAATTATATTTGTAAACTGGAAAGCCATGAATGAAAGCCATGAACAAAAGCTATGAATTTGTGAGCAGGAAATTGTCAAGCTATTTCTTAAGTATCTCAATACCTGAAAACCAGAGAAAATGTGATTAATTTCACAGATCATTATCATTGTTACCTTACAGTACCATGTAGGGGAATCACATTTGAGACAAAATACTTGCATCATTCCTGCAGTGTGGCATTTCTCTTTCAGGAGAGCTCCATAAGTACTTGGGAGCATCTGGCACTGATATGATGCAAACATCTGTCTTGAAATTCCATTATATACCTTGCTTATCAAAATTAACACTGATTAGAAGATAAAATTTTTCTATTTTCGTTTTAACTCTAAAATGTCTGTACTGTGCAATGGTAATGTGCATTTGTCCTTTAAAAAATGTTGGTTTGATTAACCACCGCACCCCTGTCATTATATCTTATTTAATTTTAAAATTGTGTCAAAATATGTCAAAATGTTATATATAATGTTTTTTGTTTAGGATATATGTGCTGTCCTGCTGTTCTGGACAAAGATGGTGTCAGTGCTGCCGTTATAACTGCGGAGATGGCTAGCTTTTTGGCAACCAGGAATTTGTCTTTGACTCAGCAGCTGAAAGCTGTCTATGATGAGTGAGTTCAATTATAATTGTGATGTGAGCTTTAATCTTCAGATTTCTTCATTTCACATGCTGGGTTTAATAGGGACTCAGTAGCACCCTCTCATATATGAAGAATTAAAATGTGTGTTATTGTACTATTAACACAATTCTGTGCTAATAGTAGTCTTCCAGAAAGTGCTCCTGCCTCATGGGCATGAATATGTTTATGACTTTGTTTTGTGTCATTTTAAGATATGTTAAAAATAATAATACTCCCTTACTAGTTCCCTATTAGTTAATGAGATTTTTGGCTTGCTTTTATTTGCTTGTCCAAAAGGTTTTTCCCTTTTGGGAAATTCTGTGTCTTTTTACAGAAGATTGGGCAGGTTTTTGGCCAGCAGTATTGCTGTGTTGTAGAGACCATAGTACTTCTTGCTGCTTAAATGAGCCAGATGCACAAAAATGTTGATGGCAGAATGGGTCTAAGCTCTGGCATATTTATGCTACTCATAGAAGCCAGCTTGCTTTTGTCCTTGCAGGGCTACTTGCGATTAAATTAATTCTAGTTGGCTCTAAATTTAGGCTTTTTATGATATTATTCTGTCTTTTCTTGATGGATAGTTTATGTTGTTGGATTTTGGTTGTTCCTTCTGCTTCTGATTACTGAGATCTGAGCTGGTTATTTAGAAATGCTGTGACTGGCCATAACTCTTGGCTATTTACAGCTGGGTATCCCCTCTGAGAGCCTTTAATATGAGGCACTACTTTTCTTTTGTTCTTGTTTAATGTGTTCAAAGAAATAATAGCAAAGATGGCTACTGGCTTTCATAGGGGCAGGGAGTGGATTTTGTGGAGGTTTTGGGTTGTTTGTTGTAAAGGAGGGAGCAGCACAGACTAGCTGATACTGTCCACTTCTTCATGTCTCTCAGACAGTAACAAAGGAGGGGTGGAACCTGCAAAGAGACTTGTGGAAAACTCCAGCTTTGCTGCTGCTTGTTCTACCAATCCTTAGAGTTCTCATTTGCGTACAGCATCAGCCATGCTCCTTTGGTCCACTCTTTAAGAAGAAATCAAGTGGCAATGACTTGCTTACGCTGCATAAATAAATTGTGGGATTTATCAGCTATTGTAGATAGCAGAAGTTTAGGTGGGTTTAAGAAACGGTAATATAAAAGCATGGAAGAGGAATTCATGCTTAGAGCTGCAAATATAGCATCTGACATGAGAATTCCCTTTATTACTAGTAGCTGGAAGTTCATGTTCAAAGAATTATCCTTCTCCAGCTTGGGCTTTTTTGTTATATTTTTAATATCCTAATTCAGTAAACACCTGCTTCAGGTTGCCCTCAGAATATTTAACTGGGTGGAATTGAGCTGTGCCACAGTGCTGGTGTGTACATAGCCACTGAAGAGGACTCTAAAAGTCAAAGCTTCTTTAGCATAGAAGCGGTCTGTAAGATGTCACTGCACATAGTCACTCTTTGTGGAAAAGCTGCAGATATAGGGATCTGCACTGTTAAATTGATGCTTGATAACTAGAACTGGAAGGAAAATTCTTGTTTTTTGGGGGGATTGTTTTCTGTGTGATTTTAATTTGTTTGTGGCTAGTATGGAGTTGGTAGTTTTCTACTTCTTACTACTTTATTCATTGTCAGATTTTCTTTGTGAGTTGCTGTTGAAGCAGAAGAAACTCTACTCTGCATTTTGAAAATATAGAATGGGGATCTGTTCTCAAAGAAGTAAATGCAGATCAGGAAAAGGACACGGTCCTAGTTGGCTTATCACTTTTTTCAGTTACAAGATAGGTTTTGTTAATTCCCTTGCTGAATTCTCAAGACTGATTTAACTACTACTAACCTTCAAGATGTCCATTTAGGTATAAACATGACCCTATTTAAGGAGTCTTTCGGGTTTCTAGAGTGAACATCCCAGTACTAATGAAAGATTCTGCCCTTCAGATTTTCACTGGCACCAAGGATCTTTATCAAGTCTTGACCTGTAGCAAGAGCTCACTTAAACAACCAGTTGAAGCTTTTATGTTTTTCAACAACATGCTGTTTTGAAAAGTCAGTTTTAGCAGGTCAGTTGTCTGTGATGCAGATTCTGCATCACATTACCTGGCATCAGACAGGTAAGGTAAAGAGGCAATGTTCAGAACAGTTCAGTTTTGTTAGAAACACTTTATTGAAGTGTGATTGGAAAAAACAGCCTAAAATTTGTTTTACTTAGAAAAGGTTAGCTGAAATCCAGTCAAAGAAGCTATTTAGATGTAATCTCTTCCTATGGTTGTTAGAGCTCTTCAAGGCAATAATGGTATCTTTTTTTCTGATTTTGCAGTTAACTTTCTCAGTTTTAATCATTAACAGGAAAAGGCATCTGCACAGAACTTTCTTTAAAGTATGTAAAATAGGACAATTAAGCTGTTGAGGCCTTAAAACTGTAAGGTGGTGAACTGATGCTACAGTTGGTTGACCATGAGCATAGAGTCTTGCTTTATGGAAGGTTATATAATGAGTTTGGTGTACACCTGCAAGAAAAACATTGCTTCTTTAATTCATGAATATTGTATCTTCACAGATATGGCTTCCATATTACCAAAACTTCATATTTCATCTGCCACGATCCTAAAGTTATTCAACAGCTTTTTGACAACCTTAGGAATTTTGATGGAAAAAACACATACCCAAAATCTTGCGGTAGATTTAAAGTTTCCGGAATAAGGGATCTAACTACTGGGTATGACAGCAGCCAGCCAGATCAAAAGGCTGTAAGTATCTTTCTAAATTACATATAAATCATATGGGTATGTATATACACATACATAAAAAATTCTATGGAGAAACGCTCTGAACATTATTTTACATACTGAGTCATAAAATAACAGATTGGGGATGATTGTTTTCCCTGGTGAGAGGAAATGAAGTGGGGGTGGTGTTGGGGTTTTTTGTTTGGTTTTGTGGTGGTTTTTCTCTCCAAGATGACAACCTGTAAAGGGTGATAGGAGGATCTTGCTGTCTTGCTACAGCAATTTTGCATTATCATCTTTTGGGTGTAAGTTAAACTGTCTACTGAGATGAGGCTTTGGATTCTTTAGTTTTCCACAACCTCTGTTTCTTTTCCTCCTGGGAAATGCCATCACAGAGCAATTTCTATTCACAGTAAAAATGTTGACTAGACTTGAATTGAGCTACCTAGCAGTGATGTACTGCTACCAGATTCTGTGTAGAGCACAAGGCTCAAGACCACAATGATGAAGAAAACGGAACTAAACTTAATTTGCGCTGATCTTTTTGTTATATGATGTAACATATCATGGGTTTATAGATAGTCTCTTTCCAAGCTTCTAAAATAAATATTCTTAATATTTCTAGATACTTCCTACTAGTAAAAGTAGCCAAATGATAACATTCACTTTTGCTAATGGAGGAGTGGCCACAATGAGAACCAGTGGGACAGAACCAAAGATCAAATACTATTCTGAACTTTGTGCACCTCCTGGAAACAGGTATGGTCACTTACAGCAGTAAATTTGGTGTAATAGAGGCTGTGTGGATTTTTGGTATTGTTTTAGTGGAACAGGGGCTTTCCACAATCAAATAATATTACTGAAGTCATTATTTTAGTGAATTTATTTGTATAAAGCTTCAAGTCTGCAAAATTTGTTGATGCATTTGTGTTGTCACTGAAATTCCTTTGAACTCACTTTCACATTCAGTAAAAATAATATCAGGAAAACCATCCTGCCTTAAATGAAAGTAAATATTTTCACCCTCTTTTCACACACATGGTTGCTTTAAAATTATATAACCATATACAGTGTTCTAATATATTTCAAACCATTTTATGTTTAGTAATTGTAGCCTTGACTGATAGTCTTGGAATCATGTAGTCTTAAAGATAAGTAATTAACTTGCATAATGAAAATAACACTTTCTCATAGAAGAAAATTCATCTAAATATACTGTTACAAGTATAAAAGTTACACTTCTAATCATATACATTTAGTAATAGAAGATCTTCTGAACTCCAATTGCCTGTTCTACTTTAGATTGTATTGTGGGTTTGTTCTCCATAGTGTTCACCCACATCAGTTGGAAGCAAACATCAGTGCATTACCATAAGAGATCAAGTCTATATACTTTTAGCATTAATAGAAAATATTTGTCTAAAACAATGCAACAGACTTAAAAATTCCTCGGACTGAAAATGTGCTTTTTAGCTTCTCCACTTGTGACACTGTTTTCCATGTCTGTGTGTTTTGTTTTTTTCCCAGTGATGTTGAGCAGCTGAAGAAGGAACTAGATGAACTGGTCAACGCTCTTGAAAAACACTTCTTTCAACCAGAAAAAAATAAACTTCAACGAAAGACTGAGTAAAATAGCCAAGTTTAGTACCTTAATTGGTTTTTGCAGCATTAGAAGTGCATTATTTAAGATATTAAGGATTTTTAGGACCAAACAGCTGAGAGCTCAGACTAAAAAGAATTCTGCTTTTATTAAGAGTTATTTTGGGTACTTTTGGATCTAGTATCTTATTTTGGAAGGAAAGTACCTTTACCCTTAAAGGACCAAAAACACCCAATCAGTTGAACTAAAAGCTTTACGAGCTAGAAGTTGACTGCAAATGTATTTCAATCAAAACTTGTTTTAATTAAATATTATAAGTAATATTCTAATTTCTGAAACATAGCCTGTTTTGTGGGGACTTTCATTTCTTTTGTGTGTATATAATCTGATAACACTGCAACTTTGTCCAGGTTTAGATTTGCAAAGCAAGTTCTTTTGTTAACAGGAAGTACTGAAAGCTTGTGGTGAGACCTTGACAAACTTGGGGCAGATGTTTCAGAGGTAGTGATCCTTCTTGAGGATGTTGGCCCAAATAAACAAGAAACTCAGCAAATTTGCTGAATAAATATCTGCTGTTGACTATATATCATATCTGGGGCTAGATATACTAAGTGTACTAAACTACCTTTTAATACCATATACTTATTAAGATAGTATATCTACATACAGCACCCTTCTGTTGCCTCTCTGAACTAAGCATAATGATTTCAATGCATACCCCAGTTTTGGAGCCTGGCATACTGTTTGCCACCACGACTTAGTGCATAACTCTGCGTGTCTAGTTTAGAACAGAAGTTTCCATTTTATTGCATGTTTTCATCTGCACTTGCAGAGCCCAAGAAGGTTATCTGGAGGTTGCCAGTTGACTTTGATACAGGGGGTTTCTGCACTTTCAGTACTTGATTTGGGTATCAGTGTAACATTTACATACTTTTTATACATGGAAAAATTCTAAGCTTTATTATCCTCTCAGAAGTCAAATTCTCTATCCTTGTTATTTTCAATACAACTTGAGGATTGCAGCAGTTGTGCAGCTGGGTACAGCAAGGCAACCTTTTGGAAAGCTGAAGTAATATTTCAGCATCATGATGGGAGGAATGCATATGCCATTCATATTCAAGAATCACCTCTTTCACCCTAAATGCAGATGCAATTGGTTCTTCAAGGAGCAAGCAATTTTTATCTGGTGGCCATGGGCTTTTTGGTGTCTGGGTAGTCAGTTACTGCAACCTGGTACCAGTCTGTCACTACCTACCTGTAGATGCTACCAGTAGCATCTATGCTACTGAATGTCCATGCCTGTCCATGCCTCCAGGTTCAGAGGAGGAGGGGGAGACACAGTGGGATGAATGGGTGGCTGCCTGGCTGGTTCTGTTAACATGTTCACGGTAGGGCCATGATGATGATGCTGCCCCTATTGTCACTGTCTTCTCTACTCTCCTTGTTTAGACCTTTTAGAGGTAACCTCTTCATATCTCTCTCATCTTCCACCTAAATGATCCCCTAAATTGGTTATCGCTACTGGATACTGGTACAGCAAAATTGTGATTTATTGTCTTTAGGCTGAGAACCCTTCTTTTTTTTAGGTTATATGGAAGATCTTATGGAGCAGTTGCTCCATGAATATGGTATAAGGCAAGATAGAAGGACCTTCATAACCATCCCAGAACAGTCTATGAGAGATTGTATGCTGGACACTGAATGGATGCATTTGGAGAATTCTGAAGTGTCTTAGAAATCTGGCAGCAGGACCTGCAAAGGGGTGATGTATGCTGAGACATCCTTAAGATGGCTTTAGAGCATCCTCAGAAACAGTACAGAGGTAGTCAGGATGACAACCCAATCTTTATCATTCTGTCTTCAGAGGTCAAGGCATTTCCTTGCTCCACTCTCTGCTCTGTTCCAAACAGAAGTTCACAACTTCAGGCCAGGGGGGAGGAGGGACAAAAAAAAACCAAACTCACAGTGGTTTATCAAGCTGCTTGAACAATTACGACAAACTACAGAATTACAAAATGAAACTTGTTGTTACTAGAGTCTTTACTAGCATTGTCTTGCATCAGAGAAAGAGGATCTAGGACTGAAATAGAGAATCAAAACAAAGGCAGTAAGAGCCTAACAAAGAGAGAAGTCAGTATTGCAAGTCAGAATAAGTGGTCTAATTCCTCCACCAAGCTGTTGTGTAAGATAAAAAAGCCCAGTTAGAGATTATTAGTCCTAAAACAGGTATTAAAAAAACAGACAAATGTAATCTGTGAATAAGCAGCCTTGAACTGGGAGCAGAGGCACTAGTATTTTATCCAGAAATGAGAATTGCTATGACTGGAATAAAGAATGCTTATAATGACTGAACTCAAATATAAGGGATACCTGGCTACTCCTAGAGAAAGGTGCATCCCTAAGTTACCAAAAGCACATAAAATAAGCCTGTTTTTTATAACAGATGAAGATACATATTTTACTGACAGCTGTAAACATTTGATCCTATAGGGGAACATGCCTATGGGGCTAGGGGGCAAGACTGATAAGAATTAGCACAGTACTCAAAACTCTGCCAAAAAAAACCCAAAAATATACTAATGCTTTAAGATAGACTGACAGACTTCACTTGAAGGTTATTGATCTGTTTACTAGTCCCAGTTAGGGTAGAGTCCTTCCCAAAGCCTAGCCATGATGACTAGTCCCAGTTTCATCCTTGAATTTTATTTTATTCAGTAAACTTTATGAAACAGTTGGAGTAAATATATTTAATCTTCCTTAATCCACAGCATCTTATGCAAAAGTATTGTATAATATTCAAGTATTGAGTTGCAGAAGGATTTATTTGAGAATTTTGCAATATATACAACAAATCATACAAGGATAACTGGAATTCACTATAGAAGATTTATTATATAAGCAATTATTTTCCTACTGTTCAAGTATGTGCTTAAATTTGTTAATTCACCTACAAAGTTTCTGTAAATAAAGTTTCATCCTCACTATTGCTCTTCAAAGTTCCAGTGGTTGTGGGGTTTATTCTGACACATGACCAATAAGCAAATCCTATATCCTTGATTAACAGTCTCTGTGAATAGCAACATTAAAATGATATTAAATTAACATCTGTTAACCACCAGCTTAAGTCCTTACAACATAGTTTGGGGACATTTAGGACTCTGTGGCTGAAGACATCTGGATGCCGTACATAAATCTAAAAATTAATTGTAAATAAAAATAATCACTAATGAAACTGTTCTCTGCCCACAGGTATAAAACTAATCAAAGATAATTAAGCTGAATTGCTTTCTTTCCCAGTACTTATTTGCACTATATAAGACACACATTCATCAAGGATAGTATTTCTGCTCCACTTCCAAGTGGAAGCCAGCATTACTCTTTAGTATAGCAATTGGCCAGTAACTGAAATGAGGACACGCACCATCAGAACACTGTGTACAGTGAGATGAGCCTATTAAACTCTCCAGTTGTATCTTAACACCCACCTAAATAAACTGTAATATAGATGATGGCATAGCAACAGCAGCTTCCAAACAGCAGGAAAAGCTTAAAATACTCACACAATCGGGGTAAGTAATTTTCAAATGTATTTATGGGAACGAAGGGGAGATGGGATTAATCATGAAATCTGAAATGCTCAAAAATACAGAGACAGCAGCAGGCAGTATCTGTAATTGTAGCTCAACTCTTTCTTGACTCTTTATTCATTATCAGTGATCATAGAAAGCCTCTTGTCTACAAAGATAATCGCTAATTAATGTCACTGGCATGCATTCCTATAGCATATGCAGTAGGCAAACATGCTATAGTAACAGTTATGCAAATTTTATGAAATATCAGGGTCTATATATAAATAGCATGTGGAGATACAATGTAATTGCATAAGAATTTAGAACTTCCTCCAGAGTTCACTTAAGTCAAGGCACTGCAAAACAATTAGTAGCCCATATTAAGGTACTAAACAGATTTACATGAAAGAAGTCACAAAAAAAGACTGTTTTATATAACAGCAATAGAAATTCATCATTATGGGTTATCCAGAGGGAAAAGCACAGAGGCTTGCAATGCAACTGAAGCTCAGTGTAAGTGCCTGCATTCAAATTCACGATCCAAAAATGTTACTGCTCAGCTGCTGCCCAACTATGGAGCAACCTGAACTCTGAAAGCATCTTGGGTGGAAACTTAAAACTTCCTGTTTGCCTCGTGGTACTTCAAAGGGTGAATCCACTGTCACAGCAGCCCAAGCTCTGCCCTCACTTGTGGCCAGGCACATTCAGCCTAAATTTGTACTAATGTACTATCCTACCCCAACTGGGATCAAGTGAGTAGATGCCTCTGCTCCTTAGCCTGCAAAAGAGGCTTCATTGCCTACATGTTCTCACAGCATGCCTCATATAAACCTGTATATTCAGGTTCTGTACAAAAGGCAGTGGAGGGGTTTTCTTTGCATTTCTTCAGAATGTGACTGGACAAACAAAAAAACTAGTGTTCTTTTACAAAATTTTTGCAGGATGTGGAAGGCACATTTTCTTCCTCTGTCTGAAAAAATTAATGTGATAGTACTATGTTTTAGTTAATAGGCTAACTGTAAAGAAAATCTAACCTGTGAAGAAAAAGAGATCTATTGCTTCAGAAAATGGGAAATTGTTAGGAAGCCTGGTGTGCAAGACTTTCACTTGAATATGGGTGTACCAGTCCATGGAACACATAGAAGTGTTTAATTTTTAGGGACTGGAATGTACAACCCCCATTCTGGTTCTTTTCTTGTTCCAGAAATTATTATTTTCCGCCCTACTTAAGTAACAGTTTCATCACAAAGCAGAGGGAGAAGGAACGCTGTCCAGTGTAGCCTGAAAGGTGATGATTAGGTAGCTTTCATGGGAAGTAGCCTGAAAACTGTGGCTGGTTTCTTTCCCAGCTATCAAAAAGCAGAAGAAAGAAAGGATTTCTAATTGTAATGCTCTAGTATTGACTTCTGTTGTTGTTCAAGGATTTTCTTAACAGCAAGAAATAGTCTTGTAGGATCCACATTCATTACTATATTCTGAAAGGCAACAGTGAAGCAGTAAAAAATGTCTTCTTAAGATCGTTGGTACTTTGGCAATGCACGAGCCTCAGCTGAAATGCTTGTGCTGTCTGGGTGAGAATCGCAGTTCACCTTCTGCTAGAATATGGTTACCAGAGTGTGCAATGCTCAGGCAGCATAAAACGAGCAGTAGGGCACACTTGTCTCAGGCGCTGAGATTGGTGTGGTAAGATAAGCTGAGGTGTCCCTAGCTGTGATGGCTTAAAAACTAAGGCATTGGTTGCAAGGAGTGGTACTCCTCTTCCCAAGGAATGCAAAGGATGTCACTGAAAAACAAGAGGCACTCATACCTATTCCCACATCTGAAGAAGCAGAAGCAAACCATGAACTGAGTACAGATAGGGAACAAGTGCCCTGAGGGAATTGCTGCTTGCATACTTCAATTCACGTATCAGCAATACTATCAAAGTATCCCTAGGAGCCAAAGGCTGTGGAGATTTATGTGTATCTACGCTTTGCAAGTAGGGGATTTGCTTACAT